CTGGAAAACTGTAATACCAGCTTCTCCATGAGTATCAACAGCCCAGCATGTTCCCCTCCATTTCTCCTTTGACGGTGTTTGCAACAACCTTTCAATGGATGCTCTATGTCCAAAGCCATGGTACCTCAGTTCACTGGGTGATCCAAGTTGACATTACTAAGTGGGCCACACCACCAAAGCAGATCTTTAGACACTTAAATTTCAAAACAGACTTTATTGGGTGCCAAGGATTGATCTCAGTGGCATAAGCATCTGCTTAGCAAGGTCAGGGTCATGAGTTTGATCCTCTGTACAAAAAAAAAGGACATTATGTAACTCCATGTCTTAAAATAGTCATCTGGTCTACCTCACATAAACAACAGTGAGAAAACCTGAGGTGAATTCAACTGTAATAATCAGGAACACATATCTCCAGAGAGTTTTCTTCTCATGTTCCTTGACAAACCTCTCATGGGAACTATGTGGTCTCTTTCCTGTGTGTGTGTGTGTGTGTGTGTGTGTGTGTGTGTGTGTGTGTTTGTGCTACACTCTGCTTAACTGTTGGCATTTGCATCAAACTGTAGACAAGGTCATTGATTGTATCAGGTAATTTTAAAATCTTTTTGAAGGAAAGTAGAAAAAACAAGCAGTTATATACATTTGTACACATAAGTCTCACTGCAGTACACTGACAGCACTGAACACAGGAGAGAATGTCATGAGGCTGGTGGTATGTACATTACCACCTCAATAAGGTCACAGTGGTTATAGATGCTGGAGGTAAAAAGTGGAAACACTTTAACAACCAAAACAGTTGAAAAAATACTGAATATACATTTAACATACCAAATCTAAACTGGGCCTGATGGCATGTGTGTGTAAGCCACGTACTTGAGAGGCTGAGGCAGGTGAATTGTTTGAGAACCCTCTGGGGTATAAATTGATCTTAAAGCCAACCTGAACTTCATAGCAAGATGTTGCCTCCAAAAGAAAAACAGTTCAATCTAATAAACATAGTGCAATCGTGAGGGCCTTGTTACATTAGCATGACTATCATGCTTATGTCATGCTTATCACACTATGAAAAGCTAATTTAGAGCTTATTTCAAAATAATATCATATCATTTACTAAACAGAGTACACTGATGGGTATTTGTTTTTCATCATTGGCATTTGGTAGTGATGTAGCAGTGCTTGCTGCTGCTCTCCACAGAAAAGTGACTATTGCTGCAGTAAACAGGAATATGCATGAATCACTGCAATGGGTCCTTAGATCTTTGAGTATGAGACCCATTAAAGGAAGCACTGCACTTAGTGGACTTACTATGTTTAATCATTTGAATACTTTGAACACTGACTTCAGTAGTGGCTGAAGTACTTGTTTACATTTCCACCAACAAAGTTAAATAGTTTGTTTTCTCCTGCCGTCTTATGAGTATTCATTTGATCTTGTGGTGATTTGTCTCTGCAATGAGATGGTATATTGATTTGCATTTCTCTATTGTGCATAAATGCTCAATAGTTCTTCAGGTATTTCTTGACAATTTGTACCTCTTCTTAAAAGTGTGTATTCATTTCACATTTCTATTGGATTTACATGTTAGCTCTCAGGGGGAACATGCAATCTTCTCCTATCCTGTAGATTATTTCTTCATCCTTTTTAAATTTGATTTGGTTTTTTTTGTTTTGTTTTGTTTTTTGGCTTCTACATTTGTGCATAAGTATTAAAATTTTATATAATCCTTTTTGCTTGTTTTGTTGCCCTATCTTATTTTCTACAAAAAGCACCAGCAATAGCATTGAGTAAAAAAGTTTTGTTAATGCCTCTACTTTCAGAACAGAGAATGTCTGGCTCATTTATGTTTCACTATGCTTTACTCTAATACAAGTATATTTAAGACTGCTGCACAAATTACCATAAAAAGCACATTTCCTGAGCCAAAAAATCATGATTTGCATTTTGCTTCAGTATTCCCATCCTACATTTATATTCTTGACCTAAACTTACCTGTTTCCTTAAACATCAAATGCAGGTATAAAAAAAACTGCCACACACTGCTAGATCATATAGCAAAATTGCCTCCCAAAGTCAGCTTCAAAGCCCTGATCATCTAATCTCATCCTCTACTGATGGTGGGAATAAAGGAATCACACTTAGCCTAGGGCTTTATACGTAAGTCCTTACTAGTGCAATTATTTAAGTAAACGATAATCAATAATTGCATACTTTTTGTTAGTTTTTATCAAGTAACAAGAAATATAAAAGTGACTATTGTAATGTATTCAATATAAGAATCAACTGGTTAAAATGACAACTTCCCCAATGATGCTCAGCATAGTCAGTGCGTAAACAAATGTGCTTCCCAAGTGATGTTAGGGGATAAGTGCTGAGTGGCCAAGTGATAAAAGTATGATCCTAAAGATTCATCCATATATTTCTCAAAGGAAGGTTGGGACTCATGGCCTGGGATATCTTAAATTTGCTCATAAAAATCTGAATCAAAAGCAGAGTTGGTGCATATCTACTATTCCAGCCCTCAAAAGGCTGAGAGAGGAGGGCTTTTATGAAGTCAACAAAATTGTAGGCACCATAGTGATATACATAGTGAAAGCCTGTCTCAATAACACAAAACTAAACTAAACAACGTAGAACAAAACATCACAGCTGAATGGAGACTGAATTCTTCAAAGCTTAATTCCATGTCTTGGTGATTAATTTTATGTATAGATACATTTTTTGAAAAAGCAATTTGGATGATAGATTGCAGCTCACAGCCAAATGGGAGCAGTGCTTTTTGTGCTGAGTCACCGGAAGTATCCCTGTGCACTGTCTCTAAAGCAGAGCTCACAGTGGGAGCCTGTAGGACCAGCATCCACAAAGCAAAGGGGTAGACAAATATCACATGAATCACTTGGATAAATTACAGATGATATCTTTTCAAATCTCATTTAGGCCACTACGTCCTTTGTTCTTAATATACTTAAGCAGCATTCAAATAAATTTGAATTTATTTTCACACAACAAAACATAAATAACAACAAATATGGTACATAAATAATAACTCAAATGAAAATGGAAAACTGTATGTAAACAATGTATAAACATTGAAACAAGGCACACATAGCAAATTATAGCTCAGTGTCACCAAGTGATCCCCTTTCGCTCAGAAAGAAGAAATATATCTTGGGAGGCTGATGCAGGAGAACTGCCTTCAGTTGGAGGCCAGCCTCAGTTACAGAGCTGTCGGAAATAGAGAGAAAGACCCTGACTGCAAAACTCCACAAAAAAATGCAACTTGAAAATTGACTGCATAAAACACCATTGCTTTCTTTTAAAAATTATATATCGATACAATGTAGTAACATGCCAAGAACTTTCAACATGTTCTGATGTAGAATGTTGATACTTTTCTTAATATACAGAAAACACATTCATGTTTGTGTATTTATCTCAGTGGCATAAACACCTGCCTAGTAAGTATGAGCTAATGAGTCCAATCCCTGGTACAAAAAAAAAATAAAGATTCAAATTCCTACTTCATGACACTGGCATATAATTAGAGAAAATCAAAATTAGATCTCAATCATGGAACACAGAAATCATGGGTTAACAGGTATGTAATACTTATTATTGACAGAGCTGGTATTGTTCATCTCAAGTAAGAAATCAGAAGCCAACTTGAACTTCATGCTTACCCTAAGAACTACTTGATTTTCAGTAAAGATCCTCTCATTTGTAAATCCTGCTCTTGACACCCTGTATCATGCCAATCACTTGCACATCCTTTCCATGCTGCTCTGATCCACACTACACAGAAAACCCTTCATGCCTAACAATGGATATCCCTGAAGCATAACTTCTATTTAGGGCTTCTATTTTACACCACTTAGTAAAGTCCATTGCAAAGAATTTCTATATATAAACAATGTGTATTATCAGCCAAACTGATAAATCAGCTGTTATTTCAGTGATGACACCCATATTCCTTTCCATTCAGAAGGCTATCATGTGCATGTGTCCATGAAAATGCATAAATTTTGGAATTTTTCAATGAACGTTTAACAGGCAGGTGATTCAGGAATTTGTCCTTTGCAAGCATACTTTACCCTGCCCTTGGTAACACTTTCATATCTGCTTCATTTTTCTCAGAATTCAAAAATACATGGCTGTTCTCACAAACAGTCTGTGAGCAGAGCTGTCACCTAAATAATTATGTTCAAAATTCTTTTGCATTGTCATGTATGATACAAAGTTCACCAGGTATTTGGGAAGCCTTCCTCCACTGAGGCACATCACTACACATCTTTGAATACTCAGTACCTTTGCCAACACCTGTGATAGGATGGAAACACAAGAACATCCTATAATTTAGGAGATCACTCTAAATACAACAAAGCACAAGTTTAAGGACAGAAGTTGTGGCTATGAGGCCCTGTATCACAGACATTTATAAACATCAGACCCTCCAGGTCTGCTTTTCACAGCAATGAGGGCAGAGACCTTCCTCAGTACTTTTGCAGCAGCTACAAAATGCATCAGAGTCAGGGTTTCCCCAAGCTCCTTCCCTCACTGAGCTTGTGGAGGTGCCAGGGCAGCAGAGAATTCCAAAGATGATACTGGAATCTGCTGCTGTCAAAGAGAAGATAGAGTCACTCTTTCCACCAGAAAGAGGCAAAATGTACAATGGATGACCCACAGCCAATGCTGGAGGACCTCAGGGGCTGAAGCAAACTAAGTACCTGAAGATCGAGACACTGGAACTGGTTCTAACCACTTGTAACTGGTTTAGGCCTTTTGCCCTATTTCTGGGCTCCCATCCACAACCTGAGCATTCTGCAGCTTGAAGATCTCCAAGGTTCTTTCCTAATCAGGCCACATGACATTGAAACCACTAAATGAGATCCAGCAAACATTCTGCTCCAGCACTGTGCTCACAACAGGTCAATAATGCCCTGATACAGGAAAGACTTAAGAGACCGCCTGTCATGGCCCACCTGGTTGGACAGTTCATATAGCCCACCTCTTCATCTGTGCTTGAATCTTGCTCCTCTTCCCTCCTTCTGAGTCAAGAATAAACAGGGAAAGGAACCCCTCCCTGCAAGAGAGGATCCCAAATGATAGACTGTAGTGCAGACTTCTGGACCTGGCTGTCTTCTTCAGTGCTGATATCCACAGAGGAGTGCTTGTACCAAAGAGATTTACCTCAGGTTTTTTATTTCCAAATCCATTTGATTTCAAGGCTAAAAAGAAAAAGTCAAACTAAATTTCACAACATGTCAATCAGGGACAACAATGGTAAATACATTACACACTGTCATCCCCAGATCATTCCCCCAAAGTGCAAGACATTTGTGTTCAATTTTCCAAACAATACTGAGCTGAGTTAGTCAAATAATGTTGGCAGTGAGACAGGGCTTGGTCCTCCAAGGATCCCATGCAGAAGCCCAGATACCTTCAACTATAGGGAAGGCAGACACTTCCTGCTAAGCGTCAGACTTCAGGACAAAAGATTAAGTAAATGTATTAATATTGTAAGGATTGGTATTTGAAATGGTTCTCTAGCACCCTGAGGAAATCAGCAGTTACCATTCAACTAAAGCCTGATATTTCAATAGTTCCTATCATCCTGGTGAAGTCATGAGTCACCTTCTGAACCCCTTAATTGAAGAGTCACTACTGCATAAAAATGCCTACTTTCTGTGTGACAGGCTTCCCCATTTGATCCCAATTTAATCACTTTTACCTGAACTATTAATTTTATTGGCTCCCATATTTCTATCCTATCATATGCATATCTGCCTTGTGAGCTCCCAGTATTCCCACCTTAAATCCATCTCCCAAAATTATTTTACTCAATAGAAGTCCCTAGAAAAGACAGTCTTTGGCAACCCACTCAGGACCCCTTCTCTCTCTCAGACAGCTTTCTTTCTCCCAATAAACATATTCTACTCTTAAATTCTGTTGTTCCTAAAATTTATGCTTTACTTTTAGAGAGCACAAACTCATACCAGACATAGTAGATCAGGAGTTACTTTCCCTTGTAGCAACACCATTATAAATTTTTATCTTTAGTGAACTCAGATAAATGAGTAGTAGTTTGTGTTCTATAAAGCTGATCTCACTTCTTCAGGGATACTCTCACTGAAGGCCTTTATGCCTGCATTTAAGTGCTGCTTCTGTTTTCTGAAAGTGAATTGATCTGTAATTTTGATTATGGTATCTACAATTTATTAAGGATGTGAGTCAAAATATTTCTTGTGAATGGTTACCTCCAGCCATGGAGGAAGACACATAGCAAAACTTCTTTATGTTTATTTCATCATTCAAACTGAGGGAGGACCTCCTGCTTGTAGTTCAACATGGTGGAAGGCCCAATCAGGGATGCTAACCATATGGCCGCTTCCTCTTCTTCCCTGATTACAACCTCCTCATTCCTTTCCCAAGGGCTTGAAGAAAATTCCTATCAGCTCCTCACATGACAGAAATGTCTGCTCCAATCTCCACATCCAGGCAAAAGTCACTTATACCCCTAACCGCATAGTAAGAACAAAACAAAACAAAACACAACAAAACAAAAAACCTTGATTTTTTTGGGCTCCTCCTCACATTCCTTAAATAGAAAGGCCACTTTTACTTTTTCTTATTTTCTGCATCTCTATTGCACCAGAAAATGCTAACAGTACTGATTCTTGTCTATGTATGTAGCTAATTTATCTCCTCAGTAATTCATCTGATCAATGCCATGAATATATAATTGAAGTTAATGTAGTGGACTGTTGCTTCACTCCATCAGTGTCAATGCAGTGAGTTTAAGCCTAAGATAAAAATAAATCTTCATATAAACTTCAATGCAGAAAAAGCTTCAAAATATAAACAGGGTCCAACAGATGTACAGTCTTCTTTCAATAACATAATAGAAGGCTTCTACACAAAGGCAAAAATACACAGTTCGTGTATCTTAAAATCGTTGAAGCAGCCAGTAATGTAGAAATTTTTCTGAGCAATTTTAGTTGAACGTTCACTTTTATATGAGATAACCTACTCCCATAGCAATATCTAGTTCTTGCTAAATTATACACTAAAACCAATTATTTTACATTTATAATGACTGATATTTACAGCTTTATACATTGCCAGAAATACAACCACTGTGAGTTGAATTGATCACTTAAAACTGCATGAAAAGGGAAAAGCATTCAGACAAACCATAAAGATATTTATGTTAATTTGGTTCATGTTGATGATAGAGGGGAATGAAACTCCTGACCTACTATATGTCTGGTATGAGTTTGTGTTCTCTAAAATAGAAGAATAATGTTTAGAATGATGGAGTTTAAGAATGGAATATATTTATTGAGAGAAATAAAGCTTCTGTCTGAGAGACAGAAGGGGTCCTGAGTGGGTTGTCAAAGACTCTGTATTTATTGAGTAGAAACAGGAGGTTAGATGGGTCAAAAGAGGGGAACACTGGAAATTTGCAAGGTGAGCATAAGGCGGGATAGAGCTGTGTTCAACCATTAGGGTCAATTGCTCAGGTAAAAGTGATTCAATTAGGAACAAATGGGGGAGCATGTCACATAATAAGTGGGATTCCTTAACAGCAGGGACTCTTCCTGTAGGGGTTTGGGGTGGCGACTGTTGACTTCTTCAGGGTGATACAGAACTATTTGGACAATTGGTTCTTAGCACTTGATTGTATTTCTGTTGGCATTTGTCTTGAGATTTGGCCCAAAGCAGGAGGTGATTGTCTCTTCCAAGGCTATAAGCAATCTGAATTTAGCCTCTTGCTCCTTTGAAGTCCCAGCCCTGTTGTTACAGGCAGCTGAGTTAGGTAGAAACATATAGGCAGTGAGACAGGACTAGGTCCTAGAAATGACCAATGCAAAAGCCCAGATACCTTGCAACCATGGGGGAGACGGATACCTCCTATTGTGGGTTAGGACTCAAGACAAAACATCAAGCAAATGTTTCCCTATCCTAAGGGCTGAGCCAGTGCTGACAGACAGGCTTGGACTGGTTCTGTTCTGGCTGCTGCCCCAGTCTCAGCCCCACTCCAGATCTCATTATTCTGTTGGCCCCTGCATCAAATAAACTTTTTTTTTTTAGAAAATATCTGGTGGATAATAGCACAAGGAATCCAAAGGGAATTTATAATTATCTCTTAACTGTAGCTGTTAAACATCCAGAAGATTAATACCATACAGTACAGGACAAGCAGTAAACTTAATATAGAACATTAAATGGAAGTGTTATTTTCTATTAACCATGGGTGTTTTAACATTTGAGCACTGAAAAAATTTGTGACATATTTTTGACTGCTCACTATTACATTACATAAATTTTTGTTAAAAATTATTTGACTTTGTATTGGCCTGATCTAAATCACCAGGCTGGAACAGGAGAAAAAGGCATAAGACATCTAGATATGAAAGGAAACATTTGTCATCATAAACAATCACAATTTTATATTTGAAGGCATGAATATACCATCAGATCAGCAACAATGAATTGTCTTAGTAATATGAACTTTACTTGAACTTTTTCCCATGGGACTAAAGAGTTTATTTGGACCTCCCATCAGTGAACCTGACCTGGTTAAAGTACCTGGTTGTTCATGTGTAAATACCATATAGTCTCCCTGGTGAGAGAAATGGTAAGAGTATATAAGAGTGTGTGGTAATCCTGCTCCCACATTACATTGCTTTGGAGCCTTATAATATTCCCATTCATTACTCAGAATGGTTTCATCCTGGGTTGTTTGATTTTATTATCTATGATTATTTGAACAGCAATTTTGAAGAAAACAAGACATTATAATAGCTAGTGCTGATTTAATATTATCTTGTTTTGAAGTGCTATCATGCTTTTATTCTTCTGTTTCCTTGGTTCTATCTTGTTGCATCTTATTGGATTGTATTATGTGTGGTAGTATAAACAAATATTTTATGGACAATGAGATAATATAGTAACCATTGTTCATTTTGTGTTATTTCATTCCAAATAATCTGTAATACTTTCTTGCTCTTTAATGGTTTTACAATATTTTGTTATGTTTGATACTATTGTGTATGAAGATATACTCAACTACTTCAAGGAAAGAGACACTAAGTTAGCTACAGATATGTCAGGTTGTATTGTGTTGTAATACTGTGTTGCTTAAACTGTTGTGCTCCAATCTCATACATTAAGTCCTCTTTTATTTTAATCTCCTTAAAATTAAAATAAATTTTTTTAAAAAGTTACCAGGTGTCCACTTTCTTGTTTATCAATTGGAGTGCTGTTTAATGTTGCCTCACCCCAAGGGATTTTGTTTACCCAATTTTAGCATCATTTTGACCAGCTGGCAACTTAGGTGGAAGCATGTCTTTTAAATCTGTTACCCAAATAAACCTTTATTACATGATCTGAAAATATAAATGTTGAGGGAAAAAGTTGTTGAGCTCAAGTAAAAAGAAAAAGCTGCTAACAGAGCAGACAATTGGACAAATGGACAACAGATACATAAACTGACAATCATCTTATAAAATTAGAATGTGCTCAAATATATTTGGCCAACTTGAACTATAATAAATAGAGTAGAGTGAACATTCTTATAGATCAATTAATAGAGATCTCTTGAAATAAGAATACCAGAAAAGGAACCTAATTGATGGTTAACCTGAGGTAGCTCAGAAAGTTAAAAAGAAGGAACACAAATATTAGTTAATCTTTAAGGTCCAGCCTGTTCCCAAAGCAGCAGTAAAGATGAGCCCAGCAGGTGCATGTGTGTAATCAACATGGCTGCTGGCATCCATGTGGCCTGCCAAAAGGCTGCAATGCCTGAGACCCAGTATGGTGGGCAGGCAGAGAAAATGGCAATGCAGGGGAAGGAGAAAAAGAACCCTCAGATGGGACAGACAGCTAGAGCAGGGGTATTGAGAAGTCAGAGCCTGGTGAGAAATGCTAGGGGAAGGATGAGAGACACTAGGGGGAGGATTGTAGACCCTTGGGAGTGAAGGAGGAGGAGCAGATTACGCATGGGGTATAGAAACCTTTGGCTGAGAACGCAGTGGGATTTGGTATGAGCGATATGGGGAGAAGCTGTAAAGACAGAAGCTGCATCATAGGTGAGGGAAAGGGGAGAGATCCTGGTGGAGCAGAGCGAGCCAGGAGTACATGGGCCATCACAAAAGACAGAGTGAGAGAAAACCACGCCCTTAAAGTGAAGAAGGCCTAAAGATGAAAGGTTTTGGCCAACTTA